ACGAACATTAGAAGTGATACAGGTGTGGAGTATTTGGGGAGATGATAGTTTTGCTGATATCTACAAAAAAGGGAGAAAAATGAAAGCATGGAGAGACCAAAAAGGCCGTGAAAGACAGGCACCCTTGCCATAAGGAACTAAGAAAATTAATCGGTAAAAGCAAACTTGTTGTCCCCGCATAAGGAACCTTAACTTGCTGAGAAATTCCTTCCAAAGACAAGAGTCAAAACAAAGGGCCAATCTCTCCAAACCAGACAGATCTGCTACTTTAAAGTTATGCTCAAGAATTATTTTGTCAAACTTTTTCAAGTTTTGAGAGTGTGGCACAACGTGGGTAATGTAACCTCCTCCTACCTGGCGAGAGATAGAAATGCCAAATCTCACTGGTGACACAAACACTTGGTTTCTGCAAGGCCACCCCTTGCTATCTTCAGAATCTACACACACTCAGAGGGCCTCTTTTTTTTTTTTTTTTACATTAAACCAAGGCAGCAGCATCTGGCAAAATAGGACTCTCTGCTCTCACCCCTCCCTCTCTGCTCTGAGCAAGCAGAGTGCGTGGCTGGCTGGAAGCCCTAACAGCGTATCTTTGGAAACACCAGACCATCCCTTGATTTACTGGCCAAGATCCACACCTACTCCCACCTCGGGGTGTCTGATATTGTAAATTTGATGGAATCTAGAGGGAAGACTCCCCTGCAGGTTGGGCTCATAGTAATCACATCTAGAGTAGGTTAAATATTTCCAAAGGGGAGGGGAAAAGTTAACTATAAATAAATCAGCTCTACTCAGACCTCCTGTCAGTTGCCTTCACTGAAGATGCAGAAATGTACAACCCACTGATTTAAATCAGGGCTCTCAGCACCTGAGCTCCTAGAAACGTGGTGAGCACTAAATTAGCCTGAAAAGAACAATTTAAGAAGTTAAAGAAAAAACAGACTATATTTTCCATTTGCATATCCAGATTTCAGCTTTTTATACTTACGTTCTTTCCCAAACTGACAGTCCAGCACCTTGACCATTTTGTCCTACATTAAAACACATCTATTTCATAGCTACAAATTTTCATGTACTATTTTCTCCTGGCCCATAGTCTTATGAAAGACAGAGAACCAAAATTCCAACCATTTATTCTTATTAGACTTTTCTTAGAGCTTTAGATAAAAGTACAGAATAAAGCCCCACTCTTTCCACACCTTCTGGCTGGGTCATGGCCACCCATCTATATGTACTCTCCTGCAGAGGAACAGGGATGAGTAGTCTTCATCTCAAGCTTATGCCATATACTTGGAATAGTGGAAATGTTTCAGCCCAGAGGAGGAAGCTCAATGGCTCCTACAAAACTCCATAAGCAATTCAAGATAATCAGAAGACCGGGGTTCTCACTTGTTTATACAACTTGCCAAGTATATGACCTTAGACAAGTCCTTATGTACTGTGAGTCTCATTATGACCACCTAACGGATGGGAAAGAATCTATCACTTTCCACACCTTCCCAACAGGGTTTACGTAAAACAAAAAAACAAAACAAAACAAAAACAGTGGATGTCATATCAGCAGGTGGGTGAGTCCTGGGATCCCAATGTTCCTCCCTCCCTTCCTGTCTCCCTCCTTCCCTCCTTTATACATTAAGGGCCTCCTATCTGAATTAAATTGTCCTAGATATTATAAGAAATACCAAGATAACTCAGAAATTCCCTTAAGAAGTTTCAAACTCTACAGGAAATTGTGCTTCTATGCATGTTAAGTGATAGGAAAGAAACACAGATAACACACTCTAAGAGTTACAAAGAGGAAAGATTACTTCCTATTTAAGCGGTCTAGGAAAACCTCATGGAGGAAGGGGTATATGAGCAGGTCACTGAAATGGACAACCAGAGGGGATGGTGGAGTAAAGCATCTCAGTGAAAGAACAAACAGTCACAAAGGCACAGAGAAGGCAAAACATGGAGCACACATAGGAAGGACAACGTTGTGTTGCCAGAGCCCCTGAAAGACAAGAGAAGGGAATGAAACCAGAAAGGCAGGCTGGAGCCATACTGTCGAAGGCCCTGCAGTCAGACTGAGTTTGGACGCCAGTAGCACCCTGGCCCACGACCCCCATGTGCCCACACTCCCTACCTGGATAAAGTGCCCCATATGCCTCACTCCCCCTAACCGCCCTCAATCGCCAATTAGCATAGTCAGTTCTCCCTGCCATCCCTCAAATCGGCCCCCTACTAATTCTCACCTGGACTCCTGAAATAGGCCCCTGCCTCTGTTCTTGTCCTGCTGCAAGTGATCCATTCTCCACACTGATATGTGACTGACCCAAATGCAAACTCACCACGTTACGTCCCAGTTTAAATAACCCACAGATGACATGCCAACACATTCCGTGACATATGAGGTGTTTTGTGATTGGGGCCCTCCCCAGGCTTTATCTTCTTCTTCTCCCTCCTGAGCCTCCTTCAGTCCTGCCACACTCACCTCCACGAAGTTCCTTAAACCTTATACGCTCTCCAGTCCCTCTGCACCTCTGAATTTGCTATTCCTTCTGCATAGTACCACCATCCCCCCTTTCTCTGACTAGGTAACACTTCCTTCTCTTTTAACACTCAGATCATCATTTAGCATTGTGCTGGAAGTACCAGCCAATGCATTTAGATAAAAGAAAATAAAAGGTTCAAGTATTGGAAAAAAGAGGGAGAATTAGCATTTGTACATATGATTGTATATCTAGAAAACACAAGAGAATCAACTTTAAAAAAGTGAAATAATTGTAGCATTTAGTAAAAGAGCAGTTAACAAAATTTATATACAAAAGCCAATATGTCTTTACAAAACGGTAACTAGTTAGAAACTATACTATCAGAAAGCATTCCTCTATAGAGTGTAAGAAAGGTAAAATATCTAAGAAAAAATTAATCAGGAATTGTGAAAGGCCAATATAAAGAAAACTTTAAAATTCTACTAGAAAGACAAATCTTGCTTCCAGATAGCAAGACCCATTGCAATTTAAATTCCCCAAAGGCATGGATCTTTGCTGCTTTGTTCACTGATACACTTCAAGTACCAAGAACACTGTTTAGAAGATAGAACGTAGTGGGCACTTAATAAATACCTACTGAAATGCCTAAAACAAACTAAAAATTCAATGTGACCAATAAAATACAATTAGGATTTATAATTGTACTCCGGGAGAAAATGACAGAGATATCAACCTTCCACTTGAAAAACACACACATAAGACCATTTTTTTTACCTAGCAGATGAACACAAACTCAAGTACTCAGGGTTACTGAAAGGCATGGAGAGCCCAAATAACCAAAATGTTATTGGCAGAACTATAAACTGGCAGAGTCTTTTGAAAGGGCAATTTACTAATATCTATCAACATTCAAAATATGTGTATTTCTCATCTGAAATTAATAACATTCAAATGTGTGGTATTTTTCAGCTGGAATTAATTCTATAGATATATTCCCATATTTATGCAAACATATATGAAAATACATCTTTTGTATTACTATTTGAAAATAGAAAAAAATAAAAGCAATCTAAATTTCTATCAATAATAGATCTGTTCTGTAAGACAGACCTAAAAAATGGAATACTTTATAGCCATTCTTAAAACTGAAGAACACCTATACAGAATGAAGTAAATCCATGACCTATTCTTATTAAAGTAAAAAAGGCAAGGTACAGAATACTATGTGTAACATGATCTCATCTGTGTTCTAAAATTATATACTTATGCTTATATATGAATAGAAACATTCTGGAAGGTTACCTCCAGTAATGGAGTCTAGGGAGGAGATGGACAGAAGCAAACTTTCCTTCAAGCACAATAGAAAGGTGTTTGTTTTTGTTGTGCTAGATTTTACCACAAGCATATATTGACTTCCTCTCAGGACAACCCATTTCAGGAAGCGTCCTGGCCCCTCCCAGTGAGGGTGCCACCTCCCTGCTGTGCCCCCTGGCACTCTGGACACCACTCTATTCCAGAACTTCGCACACCACATGGCCTACTCGCTGACTCCCCAAGTTAATGGACAGCTCCTTTGAGGCGAGGCACTTGGCTGCTTTTTCTGCATGCCCAGCACCCGGTGGGGTGCCTGACACACAGTAAGGGCAGGAGGGCGGGAAGGAGGATCTTATATAAGATTAACCAGGTGGCTGAATACACACTACTGAGAAAGGTGGAATCAGGAGACCAGCAGGGCTGGCCAGAAAGACAGCACTGATTTAGAATGAAGAATGGATTCGAATCTAGCTCTCTGACAGGAAAGCCTTGAGGCGTGCAAACGAGGCAGACAGGGGCGCTCCAGAACGGCTATGAAGCAGAACTGCCAGGCTCAGCGCTGCAGGCACTTTCCGTGAGAAGGAAGGTGTGGCCACTGCCACAATCCCTACCAGGCCACAAGTGCCTTAGGACTCCTTTGAGCAAGGAGGAAGTCCTGAGAGCAGCTTCCGACCACCCCAACTCTCTGCTGGAAACACCCAGGGGCTTCAGCTGGTCTGGAGCAAGTCTGGACTGTGGCCACCCATAATGCCTCTAGATCACTTTTGCTGATTATTTTCCTCTCACGGTGATGGCAGCGTTCATTGAAATCATCTACGTGAAAACACTGAACACAGTCCCTGGCAGAGAGTAAGTACTCAAAATACAAGCTATTATTTTTAAGCTGCTCATAGAATCTTTTCAAGAGTTCTAGGCATTACAACTGCAAAAGTCATCAGGAAGTGTTTGATTTCCAACAAGAGCCAGGCCTCCCCATTTATCTCTGCAATAAATAAGCATACTGTCTTCCTAAGCACATTCAAAACAAACTGGAAGCTGCTGCTTCTGAATTTCTTACTTTTGTTATCATTTCAAAATGGAGCTGACTTTGTCAGCTAGCACACTCTCACCATAGAAAGCTAGAATTTAAATAAACTTTACACTCAGTACGTCTTTCTCTGTCCCATCTTGACATCTGGAGTGTGGCTGACATGGTTAGCACCAGAATTCACTTACCACAGTGGGAGGGTCATTCCATTCTTCATAGGAGAGGGCAGCATATGGATAGATGCGGTCATTGATAATCTGCAGAGTGGCCATGGCAATGGCTTTAATTGATTGAAAGTACGCTTCCCAGAACCACCGTGCCTGCAAAGGAAACAACGCTGTGTTCAGTGAGCAAGTGAGACACAGTGGAAGAACTAGATGCTCTATCACAGCCAACTCTGGGTCAGGGTAATTCCTTTATTCCCGCAGGGAGGGAGCCTACAGCGAATGCTCCCTGCTGTTCGAGCCAGCTGCATCAGAAGTGTGCATTTATCCAATGCAGTCAAAAGAGAAGGGGAACAAGTAAAATGCACACTGGATTCAATTTGGGTAGAAGAGAAACTATGTCTTGATGAAAATATCAATGTTATACCAGAGCAAGTTATAGTCCTTTTTTTTTTTGCATATACATAAAGTGCACAAATCTTAAGTGTACAACTCACCAAATGTTTAGGTATGTACATACTCTTATAACTACTACCAAAATAAAGATACCAAACATTCCAGCACCCCAGAAGATTCTCTTCTGCTTCCCAGGCACTTTCTCAATCATCCAAGAGTAATCATTCTGATTTCTACTGTGCCTCCTACTGAATTTCATACAAATGGAATCAAAACAGTATTTACTCTTTTGTGTCTGACTACTTTTATCAACACTGGTAATGTTTAAGTCAGGTTTTGGTGTCAAGGTTATGCTGGCCTCTTAAAATGAATAGAAAAGTGTTCCTTCTTTTTCTATTCCCTGACAATTTTATGCAAGGTTGGCATTATTTCTTTCTTGAAAGATTTAGAAGAATTCACCTAAAAGCCATCTGGGTTAGGTGCTTTTTGGTGTGTGAAGATTTTAAATCATGGATTAATCTTCTTTCATAGACACAGGATTATACATATTTTAATGAGCATGTCGGTTTTGAAAGTAGTATTTTTCAAGGAATGTATTCATTTCATCTAAACTGTTAAATTTATTGGGCTAAACGTGTACTAACATCTATTCAATGCATGTAAAACATGTAGTAATATACCTCTTTTCATTCCTGATACTGATAATCTACATTCTCTTTGTATTTGCCATGTCTTACCAGAGATTTATCAACTTTATTAATCTCTTCAAAAACCAATGTTTGGTTTTGTTGATTTTCTTTGTCATACTTTTTTTTGCTATCTTGTTCCTTTCTGTTCTTATTTTTATTTCCTTTCTTCTATTTTGGGGGACCTTAATCCACCTTGCATTTGGTTTCTTGAGACTGAAGTTTAGATTACTAATTTTAATCTTTCTTCATTTCTAATATATGTTTAAAGCTACAAATTAGCCTCTATGTACTATTTTAAACATGTCCTATGCAATTACATATCATTTTCTTTATAATTTAGGTAAAACAATTAATTTTCTAGAAGTATACTATTTAATTTCCAAACATTTTGGGATTTTCTATTTATCTTTGTTGCTGACTTCTACTCTGATTGCACTATAGTCAGAGACCATGTGTTATTTCAAAACTTTGCCCTTCATTCTTGACTACATTTAAGCTTTTCTCTGTCTTTATCTTACAGCAGTTCCACTCTGATGTACCTAGGCATGGCTCTTTGTATTTATCCCACTGAGGACTGTCGAGCTTCTTCGCTCTGTGGTTTGATGTCTTTCACTGTTTTTAGAAAACTCTCAGCCAATATTTCTTTGAATATTGGTTCTATCACACTCTCTTCTCCTAGGACTCTAAATATACATACAGAAATGTTTTCACCGTGCCCCATATGTCTCTTATTCTCTTTTCTGCGTTGCCATCTGGGTATTTTCTACTAATTTTTCTCCTGGCCCAATTATCCTCTATCGTGTGTGTGTGTGTGTGTGTGTGTGTGTGTGTGTCTAAACTACTATTAAATCCACATACTGACTTCTCAACTTAGTTCCTGTATTTCTCAGTTACAAAATTTCTTTTTTTTTTTTTTTTAAGATTTTATTTATTTGTCAGAGAGAGAGAGCACAAGCAGCGGGAGCGGCAGGCAGAAGGAGAGTGAGAGGGAAAAGCAGGCTCCCTGCCGAGCAAGGAGCCTGACACAGGGCTCAATTCCAGGACCCTGGGATCATGACCCAAGCCAAAGGCAGATGCTAAACTGACTAAGCCACCCAGGTGCCTCACAAAATTTCTACTTGACTTTTTTAAAAGTAGATTTCACATCTTTGTTGAAATTCTCTTATTTTATTAAGCATAGCTCCTGACTGATAACCCTAATATCTGAATCACCTGTGGGTCTCTTTCTACTATCTGTATTTACTCTTCATTTTGGTCATTTGGTTTCCATTTCTAGCATACCTCTTAATTTTTTACTGGACACCAGACATTCTATATTAAAAACTGCAGAGGTTCTGGATATACCAAATTATCTTCCGCCTAAGAGTGTAACATTCTTCTGGAAGACACGAATGCAGTCAGACCACTTTAATCCTATCAGTGGTTGGTTTTAAGTTTTGTTAGGGCCAACTTTTTTCAGCTTTCCCTTACTCTTGCAGTGTGGCCCTTTGGGGTCTTCAGGCAAAGCCTGGGGTACTTACCAGGACCCCTCGACCTTGAACACCAACTCCATTTCACCAGCACTATATATGGTTGCTACAATGTTTGCACAGCTTGTTAGGCTCCCAGCTGCTTCATTCTGCAGGGAGTCTTGGAGTCTTGTTCTGATCCCGTGCACCTCAGGAGTTGGCAAACACTTCAAGGGAAGACTGCATGCCCAATTTTTGCTTACTTCCCTGGGGTTCCCATCTTCCTGGGATTTTGTCATTCAAATCCTGGATACTTTGGGGTAGCCCCAAATTCCAACCTCTCAGCCCTATGGAACTACTGCTTTCCGCTAGGGCTCCAGATGCCCAGACTGTGAATTAGAAAGTGCCCTCAGGGAAAAAGCCAGAGGAAACATGCAGCTCAGCGTGCTATGCTTCCCTTCTCTCAGGAACCACAGTCCCTTAAGCACCGACTGCACGGATTGCTCTCGAATGCCTCTATACTGCTGCTTTATCTATTTTGATAAGCTTTTATGCTTTTTTCTCCCTGGCTGGAGGGTTACTCTAATACCAGCTACTCTGTCATAGCCGAGTACAGTCTTTTGAAAGAAGACAGTTTCTTATCGAAGTAGAGATTGGGTTCAGTCCCCAAGAAAGCGAGATCCTGGTCTAGTGACCTGTCTGTCCAGCTTCATTCAGACCTGTGATTCCACTCAAAATCAGAGGCTATGAGGATTTCTGCAAGGAAGTGAACATGTGAAAATGTAACATGAGAAATTCGAAATATAACCAAAAGAGGTGGAGGAAAAAGAAACTTTCAAGTCTACACCTGCCAGCTCTGGTTCTGTTTCCCAGGCAAGTTCTCCATTCATGAGAGAAAGCCTGGGATGCCTGCTGAGGTGTGTGATGACTACTCTCTCCAAGAAAGAGGCAAAGCCTCACAATGAGGATTTCTCCTACTCAAAGAAAAGCTGACCCAGATTTAGCTACCAAGGGCATCTGGCTTATGCAGTCTTGTAGTGTGCCATCTGGGCACGGCCTGGTGGCTGGCTGCCTGCCACTGCTTCTTAGATATACCCTACTCACTCCAAACTCATTCCTGCTTAGTCACATTGCTGCTGTCCTGCCTGTCATCTAGCCAAAACAGTGACATTTTATGAGACCTGAAAGAATCTATCTTCCCTGTGAAAATTTTAATGATCACCCCAAATACCAACAATCTCTCCTTACCAGGAAATCCCACAGCACTTATACCCTTTACTTTATAGGTTGTTTCTGCTATATACCGTTCTAGAATGGTTTGCCTGTTATTTCAGATGACCACTTTTCTCTCTCCAACTAGACTGTGAGTTTCATGAATGTGGAAACTGGCTTTTTTTAAAATCATTAGCATCCTTGCAGGTGTGAGGATGACCTGCTGCAAATGTACTTTTGTATGCATGATCTTATTTGCTCTTTGAAACCAGCTTGTCGCTTACCTGGGGCAGTTTCATTTTCTATGCAAGGAAACCAAGATACAAAGATGTTAAGTGGCAGGGTCACAACTCAAACCTAGGATCTTTCCCAACCCATTCTAGAATACAAGGAGTACCAACCACACTCCATTTTAGGAAATAGTCCTTCCTTAAGAAACTAAAAAGGTGTGAAAAAGCCACACATGAACACACACATCTTAAATATTTACCCCCTTTTCCACCCACATGGATCCATCATATGTTCTTTTATTTTAATCATACCGAATTAAGCCGCACTCAAACTTAAGCATTCCAAAGCTTTATGTTCATATTCAAGCACAATGGAGACAGCAGCCTTTCGGATTTAGAGGAAACAATGACTGGTAACAAATCCACCTAGCATACCAGACAAAGGCACAACTGGAGGACAATGCTTCTAATTTAAGATGTCTCAAATCCTCTCACCCTGTCCACCAAATTGCAATTCACTCAGAAAGGAAGCAAGCTTAGCCAATAATCGGAGCTCAAGTATCTCCACCTGAGGATAAGTGAACTTCTCAGGCTTAATTATTTCTGCAGGACCTTGGTAACACCTTGTAGTATTTAGAAGGCATCCTAATTTATGGCCCCTCCAGGAATCAGAATCAGCCACTCGTTGGCAGAAAGGAAGGAGTTTTCAGCTATGCTGTCAATGCACAAAAGCACCGCTGTTCTCATCCAATAAGCAAATGCATATTATGTTTTGATTTCTTTTCCCCCTAAAACATGGGCCACATTTATCACTTCCTGAGACGTTAAATGAGGGTGTCTTCAGCAGCTATGCAAATTCCTCAGTCACTTACGTTGTGGAAGCTGCACAGCTGAAGAGGTAAGTCACAGACTCATTGGTCATACCAACATAATCTTGAACAAAGCGTCTAACCTTTCTTCATTAAACATATGCCACCATAATGTTATAAAACATGCAGATTTCAAAGCATAAGAACCACAAAGTTCCTAACGCTTTCAATCGTGAGAATTATAAAGCTCCTAAAGATCAGGAATTGGGCCAACTTAAAGCTATCATAAGCAAATAGGTATCTCAAATTAAAATTGCTACCTCAGTTTATACATCAGTTAAAAGTCATTAATTTTTTTGGTTTTCAGTAACA